CAGACGGGCTGGCCAGCTTCCGCAGCTTCCTGCGCTCTGAGTTCAGCGAGGAGAACGCTGAGTTTTGGGTTGCCTGTGAGGACTACAAGAAAACCAAGTCCCCTGTGAAGATGGCAGAGAAGGCCAAGAAGATCTACGAGGAGTTCATCCAGACCGAGGCACCCAAAGAGGTCAGTGGCCGCCGGGCGGGAGATGGTGCCGGCAGGGATGGGGCGGCTGCCCCGGCGGCCTCCACCCCAAAGGATGGTGATGGCTGTAAGGCATCCCATGCCACGGCTGAGGGGCTTAGGGGGCTGTGCCCTTGGCAAGGGGCAGCCCCATCCCCACGGGCTGCAGTCCCACCCTTTGCAGCCCCGGTGCCCCTGCTCACACGTGCAGCGGCTCCCCACAGCCTCTGCTGGGCTGCCTCCTGCCACGGGCACCTGCGGCACACGCTGTCCCCCTCTGCCCACAGAGGCCTTGCAGTAATCGTAAGGGATGACAATTTATAGCAATCCTCCCCCCGGATTTACCTTTGCTGCAGGATAGACCTGATCCTTCATTACAGATTTGCCACCAGTAACTCCCCCCGAGAAGTGAACCTGCTTCATTCCCTCCCCATAACTTCTGCGTGGCTGTCGGTGGGACAGGGCAGGCAAGGGGAGATGCCGTCACCCACCCCTCACCCCTCGCAAAGGCAGGGTCCCCATCCCTCTTACACTCCCATCGCAGGTGAACATCGACCACTTCACCAAGGCTGTGACCATGAAGAACCTGGTGGAGCCGTCGCCAAGCAGCTTTGATCTGGCCCAGAAGAGGATCTTTGCCCTGATGGAGAAAGACTCCCTGCCCAGATTTGTGCGGTCGGAGTTTTATCAGGAGTTAATCAAGTAGCAATGCGGCAGGGCTGTGCGAGGCGCTCCCCACGGGCGTTCCCACTGCTTCTGTCTAAACACCTGCCCCTTCTCCTGCAGCCGCTTTGCTTTCTCGATACCACCCTAGAAGAGCACCCAGGGGCATTGCTAAACATCCCCACTGTGCTTTGGACCATCAGAAGTCCTGATGTTTCTTCTCTTACAGTCTCTTTCCTCTCCCACAAAAGGCCAATTAGCAGAAACCCCTGGTGATCCTCCCTGGGATGGGGACCAGAGGGCGGCGGAGC